ATAGTTATGGGGCAACTCAACAGGTTGGAAGTGTTCCCTCCATAATTTTAGTACTTTCTGGACAGCGGCCATTAGATTGTCGTGTTATTAAGTCGTGGTAGTTTTTGGTAGAATTTTCGGGCGTTGTTCCCATTAGCCTGCTTCTTTAGCTCTTCTCACTCCCGTACTTAGGGGTCTCTCCCCTGCTTTTCTCTTCAGCTTCCTATATCGATCCCACCTATATCGCGCGTTGCTCCCGATCTCAAGTTGTGTGTGCCATATTTTTAGTCTAAAGCGGCGTAACATTCCTCGTCGTATCAATAGTTTTCCATAGTTTGAAAATATCTATCAGTGAGCAGGTGTGGGAGTCGAGTGGAGAATATTCTGACTGCCCGCTGTGATTGCAACTTTTTAGTTTTTCCAGGGGCATGGACGCAAGTACTCAGCGATAAAGCCTCTCTCCCACCACAAATCCAACACCGAATTCAAGCTCCTTTCCACGACAGCTGTAGTAGATTGTCGCAAGGCCGCACATATGCATTGCGCAATTCTTGGAGGGCAAAAAACCTGCTCATTAAGGGTCCGGAGACCCTCAAGTCAAGGTTCTTTGAAGATTTGCCGTTGTCTTCATCTGAAGAAGGGGTATAATTCGTCTCTTCATTAAATTAATTTTTTTTTACTTGTCGCAAAAGTAGAAATTCAGGAATTTTCTTAGGACACATTTATATAACGGCCCGCTTGCTCTAACACATACACTTACACATATACATACTTGCAGCCGCATATAATGATGAACTGACACTGCAGACTTCGGAATGTTCCCACTGAATCTCCCACTCAGCCCCCCTTCCCCTTTCTAATGGGGACCAAGCCACCGCACGAGTTGGTTACTACGAAAGGGGCTGAGTATGGTCGTGGAAGTGTAACTACAAGAACGAACATACCCAATAGCAATCCAGGATAACGAATAACTATAACATTATCTCAAGGCAACCTCCCTTAGGGCACGAAATATGTGCATTAGGGTGGTCCTTAAAAATCAAATGAGCGGGTTTTTTTTCAGTCTCACCACTTCAATCGGTAATACCACGGTCACAGATATCACATACAAATTTTGGTGCCGATTGGAGTCGGTTAAGACGTCTTCATAGGGTAATCTGAATTTTGACCCCTGTGCGCCACGCCTTAACCGTCTCCAATCGGGGACAAAATTTATATGTGATATCTTCGACTATAGTAGCATCGACGTAGGGGTTGAGGCTTAAGAAATTTGATATGAAAATATGCTTCCTACATTTAATGACAACCCTAATGCTTGAACGAGTATATTGTTTAGCAACCTAAGCCAGTTGTTTACATACATATGCAACTTTACCCTCGTTTCAACGACATCGGCTTAAAGCTCAATATTACAATGAAAAGTATACAAATTAATATATGCAGCGGCGAAGGGGTTTCATATTGGGATGGAGAGTGTTAAAAAAACCGAAAGTCGAGAGTTAACCATACTTCCAATATATCGGTGTTGTTGCTCCGCTCTTAATACAGTTTGCCTATGACCATACGAGTGGTAAGCATACTGCACAAAAAAAAAAAACAAACGAGAGCGAAAAATAATATTTGATGGTATGAAAAAAATATCAACAACAAGCAACTGCACCTAAACGAACCGCAACGGGCCAAAATGCTTGACAGACGAGCTTGATAACATTTTACTTTATTTCTGCGCCATTGCGAAAATAAGTAAAACACATAAACGAAAAATGCAAGCAAAAATAGAGCAAACAAAGAATAGCACAAGCAAGCGGAATAAAAAGTATGGTAGAAAAGAGAGGAATTTTTGAGGTTAAAGAGAGGAGTTAAATAAGTACAGCCCGCCCGTTAGTCAGTCAGGCGAAAATTTATGGTGTCTACGAAAAATTCACATGACGTCCCACACTAATATGTATGTTGATAACAACTACAAACACAACATAAAAGAAATCACACATACATATGTACATACATAGGCAAAAGCAATAAGAATACCAGCTGTGTTTGCGAGACAAGGTGGCAAGAGCCGAATGCAGTTGCAGCAAAGAAAATTTAGAAAAATCTACAAAAGCATCATAAAATGTATTAAAATGTACTACATACATATGTGTATATATCTGAAGCATGTAACAGCAAAAGTAATGCCACCATCAGCATCAACGCCCACGCCCACGCCCGCCATAGAAATTAGCACCTACAAACAAACATATTGTACATTAGACCGTACCACCCTACAAACAAACAAAACAAAGCGCCCGTACATCCTTGAGAAAGAAAGTTTGAAAGGCAATTTTGAAAAAAAAAAAATTATTTTGCCGAACCTAGACGTTGCCCTTTTACAATTTTCGGTGACACCTACATTCGGAAGTATTTGTTTTTTTTTTTCATTGTAGTTCTACTGGAATAATCGTTCCATAGCAAAAGTTTAATGATTTTTGGTAAGCTTTAATTTACTCACATTAGGGTGGTACGTTAGTATAATAAGAACTTAGCCCACCAGAGCACTATAACGGAGTGCTTGAGGCCAATCAACTTTGTAATAAAAATATTTTCTCGTCGTGAAAAGAACCTTTGATATACTTTAAGAACAGACTGTAAATGCCGAAGATATGAAGAATGTAAAAAATTCGATACCAACGTTCGGCAAAAAAAAAATAAAATAAAATTGCCTTCTAATCGAAGTACTTAGCAAAAGTTATTTTGAGTGAACTTTAATTTATTGAATTTATTCAATAAATTTTGAAACAAAAAAAATTGCCTGCCACATACTTTAAGATCCAACTGCAAATGCCAAAGATATGCATGTATAAGGAAAAATGCTTTTGCTCTTTTTTGCCGCCTACGTTCGGACAGAAACAAAAAAATCCCTTCGAAATTGCCTTGCAAAAATACTATAGACTCAGTGGTGTAGAGCGAACTTTTTTTCCGGTACGGTCTAATGTACAACTACTTCTGCCTCCTTCCGTTATTGGCTGTTAGCTCTACAGAAATACAATTCACCGCTCTAAATGGATTTTATGTATAGATACCAAAATTTCCGCCCAGCCATAATAACGAAATGGAAACCAAGTCACAATATTTAATAAAAAAAAACACCAACAAATCGCAAACTTATTCATGTCTAGCTTGAATATACATACTTACTTTATTCACCACAAAATATGCAGGCGCATGTGTTTGTATGAATGTGCAAATGTATGTATGTATGGGTCTTTGCTTGGGTGTGATTGCTTGGAAGGGAATGTACATACATATGTAGGAAGCAAAAATCGGCAGGCAAATATATTAAAATGTTGAATAAGAAAGAATTATACACACCACAAAAAAAAATAAAAATTGTAAAAATCGATGGCTGATCAGGTTTTGCTGCAGAGGAGCTGCGCGGTGAAGTAGACGTGTGAACTTACACCAGCAGCAATAAGAACTACAATCAAAGTGAACAAGAACGAGCAAACTTAAAGAAGAAAAAAAAAGTCGAAACGACAACAACAGCAAAGTAAACGAAAATTCGCTGCCATTCAGGGAAAGCGCTAAAGCAGTAACATTAACAAAATACATAATACTAATAAAAAGGAAACAAACCGGAGGACAAACACAAAGCACAAACTGTGAAAGAGCAAAAGCAATGATATCTACAACAAATCAAGGCGACCCATAAGCACATGTTTCTGCATACACTCAGGTATGTGGGTATGAATGTATAATCATGAGTGTTGTATTTGGGTAGAACTCAACAACCCAACACCCCCAACCCAGCCTAAGTCCAGCAGAAAACAAGCAAAGATGTATAAGTTCGGGCGAAACCTAACTGTTCTATACCCGGCGCACGTATTAGATATAATTTTGTGACCTTTTCTGTAAACTAAATGATAAGCAAAAGTGTTCATTCGCTATTTCAAACAGTATCGGTAATGTGTTATATCAGACTTATTGTAATAAGTGGGCCAAGTTTGGTGGATGTAGTCATAAGTGGGCAGTGCCACGCCCATTATCTAAAAATGTATAATTACCTTGTTTCTTGTTAAGAAATCGTTGTAAGTATTAACTAAGAGTAAATTAGCGTCCTTAGTTATTGAAATATCGTTATATGGGAAATGGACGTAATTTTAGTCCGGTTTTTTTTCGTGCCGAGTTTGATAGAAATTGATAAATCAGTTATTGAGAGTGGGCAGTGCCACGCCCATTTTCCAAAAATTGTCAACAGATTTCTTAGTTTCACTCTATGCAATGTTCGTACTGAGTTTGATGAGGATTTGTAAGCGGCCACTGAAATACAGCATATCATCGTAGATAGGCAGGACAACGCCTATTTTCCAAAAATTTCATAATTGTCTTATTTTATGCCAAAATTCTACTTCCCATACGATTTTCTAAGTTTTTGGATTTTTCGAAAAAGCCGTTATATGAGACATGACATGGCTACCAACACACCTTGGGTAACCCCTATACCAAATTTCGTTCAGATATCTCAATATTTGCTTGAGTTATCGTGTACAGTAACAGGCGGACGGGCTGACAGGCATGACTTAATCGATTTGTCTCTTTATTTCAAGCAATTTGGTATATATATGGCTGCATTTCTTTATTCATTCTGAACGTTTGGAATAAACTTTTTTGTTTACTTATTCTTTAGAATGTTCCTGATGATATGTTAACGTATATTTCAAACGCATTCTGTTTATTCCGGCTGTGAAATGGGATTATCCGGAATGTATAAAGAAACGCAGCCATATGTCTATATATAGCCCGATTCCTTTAGGCTGCTACAAACAACCGTTATGCGAACAAAGTTATAATACCTTGTGCACAAGTGCGCTCGGGTATTAAAAACAAAAATCAACCATCCAGCCAGTTTGTCGGTAAGTGAGTCAGCCAGCTAGCTACGGGTACATAAACCAGCTGTGGCATTATTGGTGAGATAAGGTATACAACAACCATACCAAAAATACGACGCTCATTTAAACTCGTCCTCGTCTCGGTGGTACAAATATAATAAACCAAAGAGCAACAGCGTAACAAAAATATGTAAAGTGACATGAAACCACACCAACAAAGGCAGGCGACGATGAGAATAAATGCAAGCAAAAACGACAGGAATATTATAAAATTACACAAGTAATATAGCCGTCGCTGAGTATAAACACGCGCGAATATACAGACATACGAGGTGTATGTTTGCAACGAATTTAACACGAGCACCACCAACCGGATGAAATATTCACACGAACAAGCTTTGTTACCAACCATTGCCATCGTCATAGCCGACGTCCTCGTTTGCGTCCTTGCCACTACTATTGCGCATTGCTCTCCTCCCACCAAATGCTTTCAAAGTCTAGCAGAATTCCTAAGGCGCAGTCGGCAAAATGCGTGCCACCGAATGCATCATTAAAGGCAGAGTTGCCAAATGACAAGAAATATAGTGATTTGAGTCAAAACGAAAAGGTTGGCCTATGCGCACACGAAATTTAAAAGCAATGTCATACGTGAAGAGTTTCTTTTTTTTTTCAAATTGAGAAATTGAGGCAGAGGCGGCCGCCCCTCTTGCAGAAAGCGTGAAACACAGTCGAGCGTGAGGCGAAGCCACTCGAGTGAAACTGGAACGAAATCAAAGCGATTACCAGAAACAGAGCCAGATGGCGCGCAGGATGAAGAAGAAGAGTTCAGAAGCCATCGGTGGCTACACAATATATGAAGGAGTCAAAAGGATTGATGACTAAGTTGATATGGCAAAAACAGACACACACACACGCAAAGGCTTATGGCAACTCTGGTTATTAACAAAAACGGAAAGCAATGAGCTTGTCATTGTCGGGTCGTCGTCGGCATCGCTTAGTCGATGCCACACTTGTCAGTCCATTTGCCAGTATGCCCGCCCATTCGACGATAAGTTCGTACCATCAACGATTCCGTCTGTCATGAGAAGTATCAGTTTGCTTACGATTTAACCAAATTCGCACAATTCAACTGCGCTGTTCGTTTTTCATGACGCTCCTTTTTGCGGGCACCGACGCGTGCAATAATTTACATATAAACGAGTACAAGTAGAAAGAAATGACGGCAGGACTGAGGCTGAAATGACGGTGGGAAGCGAACAAAGCTATCCGAAGGACACTCAATGAAGTTAAGTAAAGAGAGGCGAGATGGAAGGTTGAACATGTCTCACTTGGGAATTCGGCTGATATAACTTTAAGAATACAGCAAATTGGGCTGAGGTTTGTGGGGAAATTTTAAAGTTGAGTTGGTTTTCTTGAGCTCATTTAAGACAAAACATTGCTTTAGGCGCTTAATGCAATAATTATTTTATCATCTAAGTTACGAATTTCACCGCCGGTAACTTTCAACGCAAACTTTAGCTAAAAGATTAGCTCATTATAAGTAATTTGAAAGTTTAACTGAAAAAAAAAAATGTATTATCAATTCAACTGCCTTACCGATTGCTTGTAGATACTCACATTCGTGACTAATTTCGAGAACAAGACGGCAGCCGATGACGACAAAATTAAATCATTTTCTTGCACACATTTTGGGTTAGTCAACGTGTCCTTAACTTTAACCACAGTCTCACCCGTGAAACCGGAAGAGGCAAATGCCAAACAAGGAAGCGGCGGAAACAGAGAAAGGTGTCCTAACTTACTTAGTGTCATCGAAGGGATGCCAAGCCAACATTATCGTATTCACCACCCAACAATGCGTGCAATGCGGACAGCCACTACAGAAGTGCAAAACAGGGCACAAAAAGCAAAGGCAAAACAGAGTAATAGGTTAAAAGCAGTAGAAGTAAAATAAACTAAGAAATCTCATTTAAAGCGCATAAAAATGGAATAAATGCTCGTGTAAACGAAAGGAGAAAAAAATGGAGAGCAAAAAAAAAACGAAAATAAAGCCAAGGAGCAATAGTATACCAGTCATACGTATGCACATTAGGATGCCGCGCCAAAAAAGGTGTTCTTCTACTGGAATTATAAAATGTATTATTTTAAAGACGAGCGCCGAAATATTTCGGAAAAAACTAAGATTTATGTGAGCTAAATAAACTTTGGAGCTTTAACTCTTTAATCAACTGAGGTGATTTTTTGAAATATAATAATTTTATTTAAAAATAGATTTTCGGAGGCATTTTCCCAGCTAACGTAAATCCTAAAATTTTTCCGAAATATTTTGGTGGGTGTTACAATATAACAAATTCTATAATCGCGATGGAAAAATTATACCGATTTTTTTTTTTTTTTTTTTAGTATATAGTGATGCAACCTAATGTACAACTATACATACTTATAGAGTACGTAAAGAGCAGAGCAAGCGAAAAGGATTTATTTATTATTGCACTAACGTGACTGGCAAGTGTTGAGTTAAAGTCAGTTTAGCATATACATATGTATGTGTGTGTGTGTGTGTGTGTGCTAATGTGGACGAAGGTGTGGGTCGCAACTTGCGGTGGTAGCAAAAAGGATACAGAATACTATATCTATCAGCCAAGTGTAAACCAAAAACGACTGTGACGATGAGTACGAAATATAGCATTTTGTGGTTGGGCCGAAAAGCGTACAGAGAAAGGGTGGGCGGGGCGAAGACCAGGAAACGAAATATTTACACGTAAAATTGCTGAGAATATTATAAAACTTTTTCACTATACATACTTACTGCTTTACTTCTTTGAAACTGGAATACATATACGATTGTACATACAGACATTTGTACAGCTGCTGAGAACTGGAGTGCTGGCAGCAAAACAAAAAAAGCGAAACTCAGTTGGATTAACTGCGAGAAGTTGGAGAAGACAAGAGTGCTCAGCGCGATATGTTTCAGGGATACACAACAAATGAAAATGTAATGAGTGCAAAATGAGAACTGTTTGCTATAAACTTAACTCATTTAATTATCATGATTTTCAACTTCTGAACCATGTATACATATATGTATATGATACTGGAAATAATTATAACATTGTGGGATATCAGCTTATGTGATTCTATTTTTATTCAAAAAAAAATTTACAAAAATGAAATGCATCGAGGAATAATCACTTTAAACCAACTAACCAAGGTGAGGTTAGGTTGAAGTCGCTGCATGAGTTCAATGTAGGTGAGAGGCACATATAGGCGCGGTGGTCGCGTTGTATGTACCGTATGGGAGCTCGCATTCGATGCAATCCGTTCACTTATTTCTAAGTATAAGCAGTTGGTTAAGTTAGTAAAACGCGAGAGCTCATGAATGTCTGCTTCGCTTAGGTCCGCCAGACAGACAAAGAGGTGATGGTGAAATAGTGAGTGTCCTACTCTTTCAAACTCAATCAGAGCGGCAGCACATCTTCCCATCAAGCATCTCCCATCCCATCTGTTATAATTTCACTCACTTGCCTAAGTATGCGGATTCTAAAAAAATTAGTTCCTCGGATCTTTTCTTGTCGAAGCCAGATTTATTGGTTCGTCCTTTACGTGGACATCTTTCGACAATCTTTTATTTTCCTTCTCGAAAAAGTGTGCTTTAAGCCACACTAACAGATGATTCGAAAAGATTTTAGTATGTAGTTTTGTTTAGCCAATTTACCGTTGCTTTTTGGGAATTTTTTCACCTGGATGTTGCTCATTTTTGGCCACATAAAATTAAATTTTGTTCATGAATGGAGTACGAAACTACATACATATGTACATAAAACTTTTCTAAGAAATCGAATTGAAGAGTTGATAACTTCGATTTCACTTTTTTTCTACAAAACGCTGGGTTGCGTTTTAACATTTTTCTGACTAGTTCTACTGAAATAATCATAATACATGCTTCCTTGGCTAAAGTTTAAAGATATTTGGTGAGCTTTAATTTACTGACATTAGAGTGGTGGTAAGCTAGGGTGGTAGGAACCGAGATCCGGTGGGTAAGTACTAGAACGGAGTAAATGAGGTCAATTAACTTTGAAACAAAAAAAAAATATCGATATATGTATCATACTTTAAGATCCGACTGTGTTCGGTTGAAAAAATTGCAAACTTTAGACCCGGGTGTGTGCGTCGAACTTTTTTTTCTGGTACGGTCTAGATCAGAGATGGGCAAAGTGGCTCCCAGGAGCCTTTTACACTTAGGTGGTAGATGAAGGGTAAGAGCCAGCATGAAGGGGGAAGAAGACCGTATTAGAATTTCTTCTACTCCGACTCTCATTTAATTAAGATAAAGTTTAACTACGGTCATAAATTTAATAAAAACTAAGCTTTTTCAATACTTACATCTAAGCAGCATCGCTGGGCTTGGTTTATTCAAATTCAATGTTTTCACCTATGTATGTATGTATAATAATTTCATGCGTTTCTCTTCAAATACTTGTGTATGTACATATATTTACGCAACGCTTTATTTGATTGTTTATTTGTTTTTATAACTTTTTATATTAATTTTTCCCATTGCAGATATTCAAAACTCTCGCAAATTCAATGATGTTTTTCCACAATTGCCTTTAATACCAATCACATTAGTAGCAAGCCACTTGAGTTTTTCACTGCAACCAAGTCACAAAAAACACTTAAAAGTTTCTTCATTGGTGCACGCAGGCACACACACACACGCGGGCGACGACAGGAGTCCGAAGCGAAATACAAAAATGAATTTGCGTAGACACGAGGAGCAACAAAACGCGGCGGCGTCCACCAACTCGCGCACACAGCACTAACAAGTGACAGCAGGATAATAACGAAGAATGGACGCGGCGCACAACAGAGTCGACAAAAAGCAAGTCAAGCAGGCTGACTGACTAGCTGACAGGCAGGCAGGCACGGGCAACACGAATCTGCCACACCCAAAAAATATTCGCACAATTTTCGTACCATTTTTTTCTTTTTGTTTTTTGCTTTTCGTTTTCTTAATGGTTTTTGTTTTTGTTTTTGTTTTTTTTTGTTTGCCGCTTAAAATTTCGCTATTTATTGCTATTATTTTTTTCAGTTTTGTATAGAATTCTTTCGCTGTCTACTTGCTGCTGCTTGTTCTACTTCTTCCTTCCTCTTCGTATTTGCGTCTTTTTTTGTTGTACATATTACAATTATTATTATTACTGCGCGTTTCTGGCGTATATATTTTTGTCCTGCGATATCCTTCAGTGCTACTTGACGTTGCAACAACAACTGACTGCTGCAAATGCAAAGCCAACAACTGTGGGCGGACAAAGGTTCATAAAAAAGTGGTGGCGGCAAAAGTGATATGAGATACCGAGTAGGAGCAGCAAGGCGGGTGGGCGGTCGGGAGATTGGGCGCGAGTTAAAATGTGCAAACAGAAAAGGGATGACTAGAAGTGTCACAGAAGGGAAGAAGGGAGGTGAGAAGGTCGGGTATTTTTTTTTTGAAGGTAAGAGGAGTGTGGAGGTATGCAGGTTGGTGGTTGAGTGAGGGGTCTAGCAAGGCTCATAAATAAATGATATGTTAAAATGAAACCACGTAAAATTTTTGACAAGGCGAATATATTGCAGCACACACACACACACACACACATACGCTCGCCGTACTTGGCACGCATTTACATGAGTAGGTATGCATTTGTGTGCGCGGTTAAGTGCACAAGCGGACGTGAGGCGCATGCATGTGCCTGCCTGCGTCAGACGACCGACCGGCCAGCCAGGATATGCACACGGTGTCAAGCGAGAGGATAAGGCCTATGCAACGCAGAAGAAAAAATAAAATACCGTGAAGATCTTAGTGTTACACCTTTCTCTCACTCATCACTTCGCCTCCTCCACCCACATTTGCCTTCCCAACTTTTTGTTGTCGCTGTCGCTTGCTACTCGAGCGACGACCCGAAATGCCAAAAAATGCAGCAAATCGCGTTGCATGCAATACTACAACACAACAATGCGCCCAGTGCGCCTGTGTATGCACATACATATGTATGGTTGCTCAAAAAATGTAGCAAAAGCATAAAAATGCATCGAAGCAAGTGTAGCCCAGAACGTTGAAGAGCATTCCGCGCGCAACTTTAGCGCCTGTGAATTTTCGACTCCCCAACTCGAATGCGCCGACAATACTGAAATGTCCTTCGACGATGACTACGTCGAGGCCATGGCATGGAGCAGCAATAACAACAACAACAACAACAAAAATGGGAGTGAAAACCAGAACAACAGCAACCACACAACAACATATTGACGTTAGCGGCAGCAGCGGCAGTCGTGCAAATAAAGGCAGCAGCAGCAAGCCACATAAACATACATACATACATACAAACTTATTAAAGTGCCTTTCGAGTTGAGTGACGAGCGCATAAATGGCACCGAAAAATAGAGCAAAGAAAATGAAAATCGGGAAAAACGTTGTAATGGAAAGTAAGAAAGATAAGATGTAAGATAGGTGGTGGGTGGGAGTGGAAGCTCCGAAAGCAGGAGTAGTCGCAGCTTTGCACGCATGCACGCACAAAAAAATGAAACACAGCAACGGAAATATGTAGAACAGGAGCAAAGACAAATAAAAAAACTGCCGTGCTTTAAAAAACAAAACAAAAAAGGTGGTGGAAAAAATCGAGCGCATAAGCGAGCTACAATAACAAGGGAAAGGATTAAGCGTCGAAAGCGGAAAAAGTCAAAGTTTGTAGGGGAAAATAAATCAAACACCTATACTGGGCGCTAGTCTGTGAACTAGTAGCAAAAAAGCCTGAATAAGGTTAACTTTTTACAACAACTACAACACTTATGCAGAGCTTGCTCGAAGATAGCGAGATGCCCGCATTTTGGGTTAACTAATTGGTTCTTTATCTTGCCAGCTCGCCCGCGATGTAGTGTCCGAGGAATCCAGGTACATATGTACATTCGCATAGCCAAATCGCGTGGAACTAATCAGTCTTCAATTGCTATCTTCAAGGAGTTATTGGTGCACTGTCTGTCAGAGTAGATGGTGATCGGGCGTCTTGTCACGCGCGTGCACCTAAATCAGAGGGAAGCATATTTTACTACTGTTTACTTAGATTTCAAGACACTAAGATAGTCCGCAGACGACTCTACTCTGGAGTAAAAGTATGTTTATACAGAAATATAATCTCAATCAAAGCTCGTTTTTTAATCACCCCGTTTACACAGGCAAATCTCAGATTATTAA